GAGAGAGAGAGAGAGAGAGAGAGAGAGAGAGAGAGAGAGAGAGAGAGAGAGAGAGAGAGAGAGAGAGAGAGAGAGAGAGAGAGAGAGAGGTCGTGAGAGAGAGAGAAAGGTCGTTCAGAGAAAGAGAGAGAGAGAGAGAGAGAGAGAGAAAGAGAGATCTTCTTCTTCTTCTTCTTCTTCTTCTTCTTCTTTTTCTTCTTCTTCTTCCTCCTATGTTGCGCGGGTGGCTGCGGCGCTCGCCGCGCGATCTCGCTGGACAGCGCGCCGCTATTGGCCAGCGTCGACCTGACGGCCGTCGCCATCGCCGGGCGCGGCCTTTTTCTGCGCGGCGGCCGTTTTAGTACCCGGCCGCGGCCGAACACGGCCGATCCCGGCCGAACGGGGCCAATCGAGGCCGAACACGGCCGTAAGCGGCGGAGCACGGCCGTTGCAGCTCGCGGTTGTGCAGCGGGCCGACCGGCCTGGGGCCGCGGAGAGCACGGGCATCGACGACATCAGGGGGGCGCGGCGGTGGCGGCGGCGGGGACGTCAGGGACTGCATCGACGGTACAACACGGTCCGACGACATCGACGGTCATCGCGACGGCTTGTTGGATTCGAGTGGGGGGACGATGACGGGGGGTGCAGGGGGGGTCTGGGGGTGCCCAGTTCATCCCGCTATCCGAGAGGGAGATGGCGAAGTTGAGGCGGGGGAACTTGGTTTGGAGCTTCGTCACCGCGGGGCAGTACGTCGGGAACCAGTCGAAGATGCATGGGGACCGAAAGTTGCGTTGCAACTTATGCGGCCACTTGTTTCAGGGGGGGTCGTCGAAGGCCGCGCGCCATTTCACGCAGTCGAAGTACTGCAAGGTTGGGGGGATGAGAGTTCTCGCTGAAATCTGGAACGGCACGGACTACACATTCGTGTCGTCCACTACTCAGCGGGTGAAGAGGTGGATGGCGGACAAGGGGATACGGGATACGAGAGCGCCCGCGGGTGGTCAGCGACAGCGGATGGACGACGCAGAGAGGGACGATATTCAGGACGCCCTCGATGAGGAGGAGGGTCGTGAGGGTGGCATCGGGAAGGGGGGGGGTGACAGACGAGGCAGACGAGGCAGTCGGACAGCCTGACCTGCCAGGGGAGGAGGTGGTGATGACGTCGAGAGGCGTCGGTCAAGCGGGTCCCGCTCCTAGGGCGTCGCGACCTGAGTTGGAGCGCGCGAGGAGGGAGAAGAGGGGAGTGGGGGAGGCAGACGTCGAGGTGCGAAACACGGGCGGGGAGAAGAGGGCTTGGCAGACGACGATTGAGGAGATGTACGACAAGGAGAAGTTGGCCGAGTTCACAGACGTGTGGCTGCAGTGGATCTACGCGAAGGGGTTGCCATTCAACGCCTTCCGTGGTCCGGAGTTCCAGAGGGTGCGGCACGCGGCAGAGAGAGTGCCTCGCACTATCCAGTTCCGGTTTTCCTCCTATAGGGTTACAGCGGGCGCCAGGATCCCTTCGCAGAGGGCGAAGGTGGCGACGATGGTGAGCGAGGTGCACGCTGCTTTCCGGCACACCGGTGCCACCATCCTCTCCGACGGGAGGAAGTCGCGCAGCGGCAAGCCGCTCGTGAACTTCCTCACCGGGGGCGCCAATGGCGCCCTGCTATACGCCACCGTCGCACGTGACGGGTCCGTCCGAGATACAACGGACATCGTGTACCGTAGGTGGCGGGCCATCATCTTGTCCTTTCCTGCAAAGGACGTGATCGGCTTCTGCACAGACTCCGCCAGTAACTATACGGCGGCAGCACGCGGATTCGCCACGGACCCCGAGCCCGACATTAGGAGGATCACTTGGCTCCCCTGCTCCACCCATGTCTGCAACTTGATGTTGTCAGATATCGGGACGCGAGTGGGGTGGGTCAAGGACACCATCATCCGTGCTCGAGCGCTTGTGCGATTTATTAAATCGCACGGCGCTGAGCCCTCGCGTTCAACTTGTCGAGCCCGTCGAGACACGGTTCGCATCGGTTTTCCTGATGCTGACGTGTCTCAAAGGTCGACGAGGTGCGTTGGAGAGCATGTTGCATGGGGATGCTTGGGCACGCATCCCGTGGGAGCGCAGGCTTGTATCGCAGGCGCAGTGGGTGCAACAGCAGATCCGGGACGGGGAGTTTTGGCGGTGTGTCCAGTATGCCATCCTTGTCATGGCGCCCGTCCACCAGCTGTTGCGCAGGATGGATAGGGGGGGGATGATGATGTACGTCGTTTACGAGTGGAGTCAGCATGTGCTGCGGTTGATGAGGAGGGTCGATGTGCCGGCGGACATGATCGAGCCGTGCGTGTGTGAGGTTGCCATCTGCAACCTCCACATGCTAGAGCCCGCACATGTCGCGGCACACCTCCTCAACCCTCGTCGACGGTCCCTCACGTATTACGAGTCGTTACAGACGACCACCAACAACGCCCGTGTGGTCGAGGAGTGCGACAGATTTCTCCTGGCGCAGACCGGCGGCGATTCGGTCGGCAGACTGTACAGGACCGTGAGGGACTAGATGAGGTACTTCCACTCGAGGCGAGGAGATTGGGGAGATCGGTCCCTCTCCGATGCCGAGGCGGACGATTGCAGGGGGGACCGCGAGACCGAGCGTTGTGCGGCGTGGTGGTTTGACCATGGACGTGCCCACCCGGAGTTGCGCACCATCGCCATCCGTGTCATGCACTTGTGGACGTCTGCCTCTCCAGCGGAGAGGAACTGGGCGGCACACGAGCGCATCAACACGGCGAGGCGCGTCAAGCTTGGGTTTGCCAAGCTTGCACAGCTGGTTGAGATTGCCACCAATCTCAAACTGGCCTTGTGCGCACGGCAGGGTGGTGGGTATGTGTTGCCATGGGTTATGGGGACTGGTCGGGAGGGGATGGCTGTAGAGGACGAGGATGAGGAGGGAGACGTGGAGCCCGAGGTGTGGGGAGCGCGACCTGCTGACAGTGTTCCCGAGCAGGACATCCAGCGGCAGATTGTCGCTTTCCATGACAGCCGACCGTCCAGAGCCCATTCGGTTCAGGACGTGTTCGGCAAGAGGTCGACGGAGCTGCGACCGTGGCCGAAGGGTGGCCCTCAGGAGGGCGAGGCGGGGGGAGGGGCCTCCCCTGCAGTTCCTCAGACCGCCTATCAAGACCCGCACGTTACTATGTCATCGCTTTCCAACTTTGTCTACCTTTGTCCAGATCTCATTTTATCCATCTTATCCTGTTTGGGCTGCCTTAACAGCACACAAATCCCCTCTTATCCCTGAAGCCTACGTCGACAATTCCATGTATGCTTGTACAGTCTTAGGGGAGGACTCAACATCAGTGTCCATCCTAAAAGTGGTAGTTATGATCATCCCAGCCCCTTCTACCCCACATTATTATCTTTTAATGTTTCTATACAATACGGCAATTAAAGGCACAGCACAGTGACAGCAGAACGGCACAAAAACAAAAAGCCATAGCACCTTAAAATGACAAATTGTGGAGTGATGAAACATGCCACACTGCGGGCATGTCGTTTTCCCAAGTACACAGTACTGCTGGAACCCGGCTTTCCTGGGCATGCCTTCATTCCTTTCAGGATTAGGAGTAGAGAGGAAGTGAGGAAATACATAAACAAACTATATTATGCGGAGCACAATAAGTGGAGCTGTGGTCTCTTTAAAAATTGGGCGCTCACTGTGATGCTCAATCCCCATGGATTACTATAAATAGCCTCCTGCCACCCAGCGCCCTACCTCAACACGATGAAAGAACAAATCAACAAATAACCAAACCAATAGAAAAAGTTGATGACTTGCATATCTCTAGACCCAACAGATCAAAAGCTGATGACATGAATAGAACTCTGCGGTCTGCAGAGTCTGGTATACCACTGCTGAAACCCCACAGCTTAGAAGGAATAGCTGTATGGTCACATGACAGCCAGGCTTGAGACGGATGGATGAGCAAATAAGTGACCGAAAGAGTACAGCTTCCAATGACGAGTTGGTGACTTCAAAAGGACTGTCCTATGCATGGTGAACACGGAGAGGCACCCCTGCCATATCTTCTCTTTCGACGAATGAACAGACACAGAACGATCTTGAAATGACGAGATATGCTGTCAGAGGGACTCGCAACAGTGTTTTAGTATATCTGCCCTTAGTGCACTAAGTGCAGAATGACTCCTGCATGAATGCCTACATGCTGCACCAGTCATTATGGTCATACACACACACAAACATATATATATACACACACA